GTTGGGTTGTTGGTTAACAGCCGGGCCGGCTGCAAGCTATGTGGGAGGGGGTGATGTAGAGGTGATACGCGCTGGGATTAGGGATCGTATGCCAGCGCGTAAGGATTGGCTGTGTAGGTGGTGACGCGCGCTGACGGTGGAGGATCAGGGGTCAGCGCGGGGTCGTGGGTTACGGGGTACCAATTGGCTGTGGGCCGGTGACGCGCTGAGAGGGAGTGATCAGGTGGCTGCGCAGTGTGATTGGTGGAGTAATGTTAACACGCGCTGGGGAAAGCGGATCGTAGAGAGAGTGCGTCGTGATTGGTTCATTAAGGAACGACGCCCACGTCGACGTCCGCATCAGCTCCGTCTCTCGTGAGCAGGGGCTATAAAAGGGGATGCACACAGGCGTAAGGGCAGTGTGTGACCAGCGAAGAATGAAGACGGGGATGAAGACCTAGAGCCCTGCGGTACCTAGCCCCGCTGTCCTAAGGGGACCGGGACTCTGTGTAACCCAGAGGCGAGTGTAGTGTGTGTAGCCTTAGGCATAAGGTCTACACGAGCCGAATGCATTGTGTGTAGCCAGGGCATAGGGTCTACACGAGTCGAGTGTATTGTGTAGCCAGAGGCATAGGGCTTACACGAGTCGAGTATATTGTGTGTAGCCAGAGGCATAGGGTCTACACGAGTCAAGTGTATCGGGTGTAGCCAGAGGCCTAGAGTTACACGAGATTAGTGGAGTGTGTCGTAGAGAGAAGGAAGACCACACGTTGTATTGTGACACGTAAAGATTTAATAAAAGTGTGTTACCCGTCAAGAAGTTCCTGCCGTCAATTCCCATACTTCATATGTAAGGTGTTGTTAGTATATATACCTACGAGGGGTAAAGATATTTTTTGAGGGGGGGGGGGGAGACCACAATTTTCGGAAACATTTTGACATCAACTATTTACCCCACACTTTCTACAACTTTTTGGACTTGTGAAAGCCTCTTATATATTTGTTGGTGGAGAAATGTACAAACAGCCCACCGGGCTTTGACAATACCTTAGTATCTGTGTATATATATGTAAGGTTTTTAAGAAATATATTTTTCACCCGGGCAAAGCCGGGTACTTCCGCTAGTGGTATATATATTCTTGGTTCTTTCGGTAAAGTCACGTAGAAGGGAAATAATAAAATAATATAAATAATAAAGGCACGTAGAAGGGAAATAATATAATAAAATATAATATAAATATAGAACAATAAAAAATTTCCCTGCAGTCACGAAAGCTTTAAATCAAAACAGCATTAAATCAAAACAGCATAATGACTTTAAACCCCTCGCCAAACCTACACATTCCACAAGTAGTACTAATCGCATATCTGCATTTCCCATAAATATGCTAAATTCCTCTTGATATGCAAATTATTTTGTTAAGACGCTCTTCGCCCCTCCATCCCAGCATAAATAGTCGCTCCAAGCCTGGGGCGTGACATTCAGACTCTGTCTTCTCGACAGACCTGTTCTCTACCTGAGGACGGCTGCTTGCGTTGTGGCCGAAACGTCGTGAGAATAATTTTATTACGTTTTATTTATTATTATTTTATTACTTCCCTTCTACGTGACTTTACCGAAAGAACCAAGAAGACGAATCCCTGCAGTCACGAAATAAGCTTTAAATTGAAAAATTGTGTAATCAGGTTTGTTTATTATCTTTCTTCCACAGCTCCCACCATACGGACTCCTCTGCTATCTGACTCCGTCACGCTGTTGACAGACAGCGTGAGAGGGAGGGATAGAGAGAGAGAGACTGTGGCAGGCTCTGGACCCCCGTTCCTGCGTGGCGTCTCCCTTCGTTCGTTCCAGTTCTGACCACGTGTTGCCCGTCTCCACCCCTTTTAATCCCTGGGTCACGTGGTGCCTTTCAGCCAGTCCTGGGTCACCTCCCTGGAATCTTCCAGATTCCATCCTACGGGCCCAGGACCACGCCCCTGACTCGTCCCCCCATTGGCTGTGGCTAAAGCCAGCAGATCCAATCATCTCCTTCCACGTGTCACCTTCCCATTACGTCAGGGCCACGCCCCTACTCCTCTCCCCATTGGTTATGGGCCTGGACCGGTAGATCCAATCATTATAAACGAGGTGTGACCATTCAACCAGCCAGGTGTACCCTCACCTTACACATTGATAGCAGCCAACTCCTCTCAATGCGGAGGGACATATACAGGCATCAGGGTCGGGTTCGAACCCACAACCTCTTGAATACCAGGCGAGGTAGTTAACATATCACCACCATGGCAAATCCACTCTGACTCTCCCACCCACCCACCCACACACCCACACACACACACCCACACACCGACCCACACACACACACCCACACACCCACCCACACACCCACCCACACACACACCCACCCACACACCCACCCACACACACACCCACACACCCACCCACCTACCCACCCACCCAACCACACACCCACCCACACCCCCACCCACCCACACACACACCCACACACCCACCCACCCACACACCAAACCACACACCCACCCACACACCCACACAACAACAACAACAACCGCCATTCGCCACTAAGTGGCGGTGACGTCACCACGACGCTTGTGCCAGGCCAAGTGCACCTTGAGGCCACGTGAAGTGTCGAACGCCCGCTGGCAGGAGGTTACACCTACACACACACCCACACACACACACCCCCCCACCCACACACCAAACCACACACCAACCCACCCACACACACACCCACCCACACACCCACCCACACGCACTCTGCGTGAGGCTAACAGTCTTTGTGAAAGTGAGTCAACACGAGGCGATCTTCGAGTCAGGGCTTTATTGCAATTCATGACACTCCAACCCATGAGCTCTTTTTCAAAAGCGACCAGGCCACAAATTACATTTCAGCGAAGTGGCTTATCATGTGGAAATGGATGTGTGGTGTGTGCGTGCGTGTGCCAAGCGGGTGCAGGATGGTGGTCCAGTGGGGCCCATTTCTCCACAACAACACCACGTGGTGACCTCAGTACGATTACCTGTCATTGCTAACATCAGTGGCGAGAGATATTTGAACTGGTCCCAAACCTCCCCTAGTTCGACTCAGCTTTAAAACGAGTTACTGGTACTGTGCGTAAGCATCAGCATCATTGGGGAGACGGACAGCCGGATGTGGTGCATGTCACATCCCTTGCATTGTGCAATATTTATATTTAAATAGGAGCTTGCTGACAACACTTTTCCTCAACAGCCTTGATCCTAGGGCCAATAACAAAACGTCGCCTATTATTTATCTTTTATTTTAAGGCCACAGTATTACCGACTGTCGCACACGTCAGCGGGGCGCGTTGGTTCTAGACGCAGATGGAAGTTTGTGCAGTCATCTGATGATGTTGAGATCAACCAGGGCTTCAATATAGCCACGTCTGTCCAGTTCAGTGACGCGTCAACACCCATCACACCACGCCCAGAACACCTCTCGTTCATGGCTCTGGCTACTTGCCAAGTGCCTTGACATGGTCTAACAACCTTAACATTAATGCAACTTGAACTAAACTTGTCATCTGTAAGATGCGCCTGCCGTTCTTCCACTCCGGTGGTGGGTGTACACCCAGGACCCCATTCCAACCTAAGGTGACCTGGTCTCAACTAGCTGATGAAAGTTGCAAGCGAGAATTTCATCATCGCTTGCGGCTGGGGTTGGCATCATCCCCCACTCCTCCAGATGTCGAGCGGAAATGGGCGAGGTTTAGGACTGTGGCTCATGCAGCTGCAATGGCTGCTTTGGGTACACGGTCCAGAGTGGAGAGTTTCCCATACCTGGGCAGTGTGCTCATGACCGGCTCCGGTTTAACAGCAGAGGTCTCGCATCGGTCTAGCAGCATTATCTTTTCATCGGTTGCGTAACACTGTGTGGAAGCTACCTGGTCTGTCGCTCCGCACGAAGCTTCAGGCCTTCTTGGCCATGGTCATTCCCTCCCTTTTCCACGCTTGCGAAACGTTAGAAACATTTAGGCTGGCCTGCCTGGGTTTAACCTGCAGGCTGGATTGTGTGAGCTCAAAAATCCTTGAAAGATCTGGATAAAGTCCCATCGGTGAGCTCCTCCGGCAGGCAAGGCTGCGTTGGCTGGGTCATGTAGCCCGCATGCCCAGCCACCGCATGCTTAAACAGCTTTTGTTCGGCCGGATCGAGGGGGCTAAACGATGCGGCACGGGCTAGAGAAGAGATGGAGTGATGTGGTACAGGAGGATATGGAGCTGAGTGGACTTGCCGATGACTGGTACCAGCGGTGTCAAGATCGGCCTCTGTGGAGGAGGCTCGTGAAGGACGCTACTGGGCAGTTGGAGGCAGTCGCCCTCCAACAACAACGAAGGGCGGAAGAGCGACGCTCACAACAACGAGCGGAGCGCCGGGTGGCTAAAGCACAGAAAGTTGGCACAGTAGGGGGCACAGGTGGTGCATCAGCCAGTCATCTCGGTCATCTCGGTCAGTCGACCCGTGGCACCTGGGTCTGCCCCGTGACCTCCTGCCAGCGGGCGTTTGACACTTCACGTGGCCTCAAAGAGCACGTGGCCTGGCACAAGCGTCGTGGCGACGTCACCGCCACTTAGTGGCGAATGGCGGTTGTTGTTGTTGGGCGGGTGTTTGTGTTGGGCATGGGACTGATCAGAGACTCGTGGGAGCGAGACTCCTGGAGCCGGGACATCCCATGGGACCTGCAAGAGACACCCACGGGAAAGGTCACAGGCGGGAGGTCAGGGACGGTCACGGGAGGTCACTGGGAGGGTCACGAGGGTCAGGGAGGGTCACGTGGGTCAGGCAGGGTCACGTGGGTCAGGGTGGGTCACGCGGCTGTTAGTGATGAGTAGCAGCAGTAACACACAGACAAAGGTCCCCCAGGTAGCCTCTAACAGACTGCAGGGCAAGTGCTGTCAGTAGCGAGCCTATGCCACCCAAGGCCAAGGGGGAGGGGGGAGACCACGTGGTGCCTCCCCCCACGTGCGGATCGAGGAGGAATCGTCTGCCGACGATCCGAAGTCGATCTGCGGATCGATCCGACAGCCCTCGGCGGGAACGCAAAGCGAATGTCAATGGAGAGAGAAGTTGACAGCCCCCGACTCGGCGTGGAGTCGCCGCCTCGCCCACCTCCTCCTGCACCTCCTACTCTACCTCCTCCTGCACCTCCTCAGTGCCCTGGCGACGACAACAACCCCACAGCGGCAGCAGCGACTACGACAACGCCCGCCGTTGAGGCCTACACCGCCTCGGAGCCTGCGGCCTCTGCCCACGCCGCGTCGCATTCGGCGGGGGAGATTCAGGCGAGGGGCGGCGAGGAGGAGGAGGAGGAGGGGGGGGCGGTTGGGGGAAAGGAATGTGATGATGATGAAGATGATGAGGAGGATGATGATGAGGAGGAGGAGGAAGATGAGGAGCAAGCTGAAGAGGACTATGAGGAGGAGATCCTGCAGCTGCTGATGGCCGTGACCGCTGCACGTGCAGCAGCTCCACAAGGTTCAGCGGCAGCAGCAGCAGGAGGAGGAGCTCCGGCTTCAGCCGGCGGCGCCGGAGATCCTGCACGGCGGGTCGTGGGCTGGGGCCGCCCGCCCACGCCCCAACCCGGCGGTGGTGGTGGTGAAGATGGTGGTGGTGGTGAAGATGGTGGTGGTGGCGCAGGCGGCCCGGCTGGTGAGCATGTGCGGGACCTCCATCTTGGAGCTGCTGGGGCGCGCAGGCTGGGTAAGGGTTGTGACGCCACCGCCAACAACGCTAGCACCGCCACCAACAACACCACCAACAACACCACCACCATCTCCACCACCGTCTCCATCACCACCACCACCAACAACGCCACCACCGTCTCCACCACCATCTCCACCACCATCTCCACCACCACCTTCACCACCACCATCACCACCACCATCTCCACCACCACCATCTCCACCACCATCTCCACCACCACCATCACCACCACCCAGAGGTGGGACAAAGTCATTGTTATGCAAGTCCAAGTCGAGTCTGAAGTCATCAAATTCATGACTCGAGTCTGACTCGAGTCCAAGTCACATGACTCGAGTCCACACCTCTGCCACCACTATCACCACCATCTCCACCATCACCACCACCATCACCACCATCTCCACCACCATCTCCACCACCATCTCCACCACCATCTCCACCACCATCTCCACCACCATCTCCACCACCATCTCCACCAGCATCTCCACCACCATCTCCATCACCACCACCACTATCTCTACCACCACCACCATCACCACTATCTCCACCATCTCCACCACCATCTCCACCACCACCATCACCATCTCTACCACCACCACCATCTCCACCACCATCTCTACCACCACCACCATCTCCACCAACATCTCTATCACCATCACCACCATCTCTACCACCACCATCTCCATCACCATCACCAACACCACCATCTCCACCAACGCCAAAACGCGACCAGCACAAGGACAATGCCACACGAATCAGCAGAACATTTATAGCTCCGGGTGGAGCAGCAGCAGCAGCTGTGTGGCAATGATGATGGTGGTGATGATGATGATGGTGGTGATGGTGATAATAATGATGGTGGTGGTGATGATGGTAATGATGATGGTGATGATGGTGGTGATGGTGGTGATGGTGGTGATGGTGGTGATGGTTATGATGCTGATGGTGGTGGTGATGATGATGATAATGATGATGGTGGTGATGGTGATGATGGTGATGAGGATGGTGATGATGATAGTGATGATGATGATGATGGTGGTGATGGTGGTGATGATGATGATGGTAGTGATGGTGATGATGATGATGGTGGTGATGATGGTGATGGTGGTGATGGTGGTGATGGTGATGATGGTGGTGATGATGGTGATGGTGGTGATGGTGATAATGATGATTGTGGTGGTGATGATGATGGTGGTGATGATGATGATAATAATGATGGTGGTGGTGATGGTGGTGATGGTGGTGGTGATGATGATGATAATGATGATGGTGGTGATGGTGATGATGATGGTGGTGATGGTGATGATGGTGATGATGATGGTGGTGATGGTGGTGATGCTGATGGTGGTGGTGATGATGATGATGGTGGTGATGGTGGTGATGGTGGTGATGCTGATGGTGGTGGTGATGCTGATGGTGGTGGTGATGATGATGGTGGTGGTGATGGTGGTGATGGTGGTGATGGTGGTGATGGTGGTGATGATGATGGGGCTTCTCTTTTTGTTTCTCCTTCGTCCCACCACAGGAGGGCTTCCTGCAGGCTTTGGGGCCGGAGAGAGAGACAGAGACACAGAGAGAGAGAGAGACACAGTGAGAGACAAACAGAGACACAGTGAGAGAGACACAGAGACACAGTGAGAAACACAGAGACACAGTGAGAGACAAACAGAGACACAGTGAGAGAGACACAGAGACACATTGAGAGACACAGAGAGAGAGACAGAGACACAGAGAGAGAGACAGAGACACAGTGAGAGACAAACAGAGACACAGAGAGAGAGAGACACAGTGAGAGAGACAGAGAGAGACAGACAGAGAGAGACACAGTGACAGACACAGTGAGAGACACAGAGACACAGTGACAGAGACACAGAGACACAGTGAGAGAGACACAGAGACACAGTGAGAGAGACACAGAGACACAGAGACAGAGAGAGAGACAGAGACACAGTGAGAGAGAGGCACAGTGAGAGACACAGAGACAAACAGAGACACAGAGAGAGACAGAGACACAGTGAGAGAGACACAGAGACACAGTGAGAAACAGAGAGAGACACACAGACAGAGACATACAGTGAGAGAGAGACAGAGAGACACATTGAGAGACACAGAGAGAGACACACAGACAGAGACATAAAGTGAGAGAGACACATTGAGAGACACAGTGAGAGAGAGACACATTTAAAGACACAGAGAGAGAGACAGAGAGAGAGAACGTCAGAGTTAGAAAAGGAAGAAAAAACCCGTACGGACAAGACGGTGCGGCCTCACCATCACCCCCACCGAGACGCCCACGGAAGCTGTAGCACAGGTTTTGTTTGTATTAGATCGCGTATCAACGTTGTGTTGTTAAACCCGCCACCACCCTACACGACCATCTCACCACACAGAGGCCCACGCAGACACCCACAGACTCACCACACAGAGACCACACAGACACCCACAGACTCACCACACAGATACCACACAGACACGCACAGACTCACCACACAGAGACCACACAGACACCCACAGACTCACCACACAGAGACCACACAGCCACCCACAGACTCACCACACAGAGACCACACAGACACCCACAGACTCACCACACAGAGACCACACAGACACCCACAGACTCACCACACAGAGACCACACAGACACCCACAGACTCACCACACAGAGACCCACAGACGCACCATACAGAGACCCACAGACTCACCACACAGACACCCACACAGACACCCACAGACTCACCACACAGAGACCCACAGACTCACCACACAGAGACCCACAGACTCACCACATAGAGACCCACAGACTCACCACACAGAGACCCACAGACTCACCACACAGACACCCACAGACTCACCACATAGAGACCCACAGACTCACCACACAGAGACCCACAGACTCACCACACAGACACCCACAGACTCACCACACAGACACCCACAAACTCACCACACAGAGACCCACACAGACACCCACATAATCACCACACAGAGCCATAGACTCACCACACAGAGAGATCAGATGAATGTGTAATAAAAGACTTCGTCAGGCACTGCTGGTGTCCGTTTGTCTTTTATTTAGGTTCTTTCTGCGCAGACCAGCGTCGTCTCGCGCGCGCCCCACGCACGCTCCCTCGTCAGCTCCTCCACTCTTCCTCACACCCCGCTGGGCCTGATCAGGGACCAGCGTCTCCTCTCGCGTGCCGCGCACGCTCCTCCGTTAGCTCCTCCACTCCCGCACTCCGCACACCGCTGGCCGACGGCGTGCTGAGGACCTTCGGCCACGTGGCCGATGGTGCGGATCTCTCTCACCACCCAGCGTGGCTCAGACTCTTAACTTCCCCGACCGTCCCGATCTCTTCCGGGCTCCCACTTATATCCATTCCCCCCACGTGACCCTGACTCCTCCCCTTCCGGATCGTCAGATCCGGCCTTCCCATACTACCCCGCTGGCTCCGCCCCCATTCACCTCGCCTCCCATTGGAGCTGCCGAGGTGACCGGTGGCCCCTCCCACACGCCCCGCAGACCAGGCTCCGCCCCCCAACACCCCGGGCCGTGTGATTGGACCAGAGCCCAGCAACAACCCCATTGACGCTCGCGCTACAGACGCATCAAAAGCTCAAAGCTGCTGCCACTTTCACGCCTCTCGACGATTCGTGGGGCCAGCCTGAGGTCACCTTTGCTTCTGGCTCCACGGACCTCCTGGCACTTAATGTCATCAACCCCCCCGAGCATTCTCCCTCTGGAGGTCATCCCAAAAACTTGTGTGCATACAGGGCCACTGAATTGCCCCTTGGAATGTTTTTCAACTCATTAGAGCGAGCCCCCAGATGTGCTGTGTTTGTGTGTAGGATGTCACAAAGCGGTCTCTATAAGGGCATCGATGCACGTGGGTTTATGACGTCACAAAGCAGCCATGAGGCCGTCCCACAGCGCGACAAACGCGGTTTCCTCCACCCCCCCCCCCCCCCACCGAAATCTTTGGCCTTTCGCGGTGTGCGCACACACGCAGTTTTGGCTTTCCTGGACTCGCTGACGATGTGCCCAAATCAGTCGAGCGCCATTATCTTTTCATCGGTTGCGTAACGCTGTGTGGAAGCCACCTGGTCTGTCGCTCCGCACGAAGCTCCAGGTCTTCTCGGCCACGGTAATTCCCTCCCTTCTCTACGCTTGCGAGACGTGCACCCCCCTAATGGAGCATCTTCGCCGGTTAGAAACATTTAGGCTGGCCTGCTAATGATCCATCCTGGGTTTAACCAGATGTGTGTGTGTGTGTGTCTAAGTCGATGTGTTTCTATGTGTGTGGGTCAATGTCTGTGCGTAAGTTCATGTGTGTGTCATCTCGGTCATCTCGGTCAGTCGACCCGTGGCACCTGCTGGGTCTGCCCCGTGACCTCCTGCCAGCGGGCGTTCGACACTTCACGTGGCCTCGAAGTGCACTTGGCCTGGCACAAGCGTCGTGGTGACGTCACCGCCACTTAGTGGCGAATGGCGGTTGTTGTTGTGTGTGTCTGCCTTTTCGCCCGAGCAAAGCCGGGTACTTACCGCCAGTATTTATTTAAAGTTTCGCATTTTGATGTGACGTCACATTTCTCACCCCCCCCCCCTCGTCACGCATCGTCACAGATGTCTGACCCCCGCCCCCCCCCACGTGCGTGACGTCATTGATGGGCGGTCAGCAGCAGAAGGGGGAGGGGCGAGTGAGGATGCCGGAAGTTCGCTCCCCCCGGAATCGATGGGATTCGACGAACGGTAATCGATGAGAATCGAACATCCGATTCGTGGTGACGACATCGCCCGGCGACCATTGCCAAGATGGCGGCACCCAGGTAGGAGGTTGTTGTTGTGGTGGTTGTTGTTGTTGTGGTGGTTGTGGTGGTTGTTGTTGTGGTGGTGGTTGTTGTGGTGGTTGTTGTTTGTGTGGTGGTGGTTGTTGTTGTGGTGGTTGTTGTTTGTGTGGTGGTGGTTGTTGTTGTGGTAGTGGTTGTTTGTTTGGTGGTGGTTGTTGTGGTGGTTGTTGTTTGTGTGGTGGTGGTTGTTGTTTGTTTGGTGGTGGTTGTTGTGGTTGTTGTTGTTTGTGTGGTGGTGGTTGTTGTGGTGGTTGTTGTTTGTGTGGTGGTGGTTGTTGTTTGTTTGGTGGTGGTTGTTGTGGTGGTTGTTGTTGTTTGTGTGGTGGTGGTTGTTGTGGTGGTTGTTGTTGTTTGTGTGGTGGTGGTTGTTGTTTGTGTGGTGGTGGTTGTTGTGGTGGTGGATGTTGTTGTGGTGGTGGTGGTTGTTGTGGGGGTGGATGTTGTTTGTGTTGTGGTGGTGGTTGTTGTGGTGGTGGTGGTTGTTGTTGTTGTTGTGGTGGTGGTTGTTGTTGTGGTGGTGACGATGTTGACGATGGTGGTGATGATGATGGTGATGATGATGGTGGTGATGATGGTGGTGATGATGATGGTGGTGATGATGGTGGTGATGATGATGGTGGTGATGATGATGGTGGTGATGATGATGGTGATGATGGTGGTGATGATGATGGTGATGATGATGGTGGTGATGATGGTGGTGATGATGATGGTGGTGATGATGGTGGTGATGATGATGGTGGTGATGATGGTGGTGATGATGATGGTGATGATAATGGTGATGATAATGCGGCTATTGACAGCAGGTGTTGGAGACTTAGCTGGGTCATGCAGAGATAATGAGCTCAACTAAAACAATGCTTTTCCCAGCGGGTAAGGCTCACTAAGCAGCATCATAGCTCTTCCTCAGAAGCTACCTGGCCATCACAAATGATTGCCCACCAAAGTGGTTCATCATCGCGTGAACATTTGTAGCAGAAGCCAAATAATCTCAACTCGTGTGTTTCTAAACGTGGAGGGAAAAACTGGAGGACCAGGAGACAAAATCCACGCGACCACGGGAGGAGAGAGACGCAAACTCCAAACATACATTGGCAGGCATCGTCAGGGTCGGGATCGAACCCACGACCTCCTGCACACCAGGCGAGGTAGTCAACATCTCCCAGTCACACACAAACATACATTGGCAGGCATCGTCAGGGTCGGGATCGAACCCACGACCTCCTGCACACCAGGTGAGGTAGTCAACATCTCCCAGCCACACACAAACATACATTGGCAGGCATCGTCAGGGTCGGGATTGAACCCACGACCTCCTGCACACCTGGCGAGGTAGTCAACATCTCCCAGCCACACACAAACATACATTGGCAGGCATCGTCAGGGTCGGGATCGAACCCACGACCTCCTGCACACCAGGCGAGGTAGTCAACATCTCCCAGCCACACACAAACATACATTGGCAGGCATCGTCAGGGTCGGGATCGAACCCACGACCTCCTGCACACCTGGCGAGGTAGTCAACATCTCCCAGCCACACAAAAACATACATTGGCAGGCATCGTCAGGGTCGGAATCTAACCCACGACCTCCTGCACACCTGGCGAGGTAGTCAACATCTCCCAGCCACACACAAACATACATTGGCAGGCATCGTCAGGGTCAGGATCGAACCCACGACCTCCTGCACACCTGGCGAGGTAGTCAACATCTCCCAGCCACACAAAAACATACATTGGCAGGCATCGTCAGGGTCGGAATCTAACCCACGACCTCCTGCACGCCTGGCGAGGTAGTCAACATCTCCCAGCCACACACAAACATACATTGGCAGGCATCGTCAGGGTCAGGATCGAACCCACGACCTCCTGCACACCTGGCGAGGTAGTCAACATCTCATAGCCACACACAAACATACATTGGCAGGTATCGTCAGGGTCACGATCGAACCCACGACCTCCTGCACACCTGGCGAGGTAGTCAACATCTCCCAGTCACACACAAACATACATTGGCAGGCATCGTCAGGGTCGGGATCGAACCCACGACCTCCTGCACACCAGGCGAGGTAGTCAACATCTCCCAGCCACACACAAACATACATTGGCAGGCATCGTCAGGGTCGGAATCTAACCCACGACCTCCTGCACACCTGGCGAGGTAGTCAACATCTCCCAGCCACACACAAACATACATTGGCAGGCATCGTCAGGGTCAGGATCGAACCCACGACCTCCTGCACACCTGGCGAGGTAGTCAACATCTCATAGCCACACACAGACATACATTGGCAGGTATCGTCAGGGTCACGATCGAACCCACGACCTCCTGCACACCTGGCGAGGTAGTCACCATCTCCAATGAAACTCACCGCTTCTTACTCGACTTCTGACCACGTCGTTAATCGCGACTGCTCGCCAGTGGCCAGCTGAACGGATAATCGATAATAATCGATGGTAATCAATAATCGATGGTAATTGATTATTATCATCGATTATCCGATTCGCGCTCATGTCATCCCACAGAGACCATCGCCAAGATGGCGGTGCCCAGGTACACTACACTATACACTACATTATACACTACACTATTATACTATACACTACCATACACTATACACTACACTTATACTATACACTACTGTACACTATACACTACACTATTATACTATACACTACTGTACACTATACACTACCATACACTACTGTACACTATACACTACACTACTGTACACTATACACTACACTACTATACTATACACTACTGTACACTATACACTACACTACTATACACTACACTATACACTACACACTACTATACACTACACTATGCACTACACTATACACTACACTACTATACACTACACTACTATACACTACACTACTATACACTAGACTATATACAACACTATACATTACACTACTACACTACACTACTACACTATACACTACACTATACACTACACTACACTACTACACTATACACTACACTATACACTACTATACACTACACTACTATACACTACACTATTATACACTACACTATACACTGCTATACACTACATTATACACTACTATACACTACACTATACACTACTAC